TTTCTCAGTATTTTTGTGTTATTTTCCAGCACAAATATCCAAATATTCCTAAATCAAGATATATTTACTTTGAAGACAATCTTGTCTTGTTTTCTGAAAATGTAGCAAAATGAAGTGACTTCATGCTTAAAACAAGCCAGTGGGGTAAGAAAAATAAACTATAAAAACATGTTTAGTCTGTTGGCAGATGTTTTTAGATATGTGGGGGCGTGTTAGAACGAGCCGTTTTAGGGGGGCGTGGCAGAGTCTTAACTTTGATAAAGAATATCTCTTTGGTTTTGAGACTTTAGTCTTTGCAACTTCAGGGATCTTATCTATGCACAATCAGCTTGTAACACTCCAAAGAGAAAGGAAAACTTGAAATCGCATCATATGACCCCTTTAAGCGCAAAGTGACTTAATTTAGTTATTTTGCTTTTAACCCTTGTGCAACCTTTTGGACATTTTTGTCTTTTTCAGTTTTGTTTTTTTGATCATTTTGCCTGTGTTATTGCCAACTGCATACATTTTGGCACAGGTGTGTATTTTTATTGGAATTTTACTATTTAACTTCCATTTGCTTTAATAAATCTGTTTTCCACTAGGTACAAAAAATGTTCCTCTCAGGACCTTAAGGACAAAAATGTCCCCATTGAGACCCCTTGAAACGGCTATTTTTTATCGCAGTGCCATTTAACTGTAAAATTATGCATTTTTTGTTAGGCTTTCATTCTGTTGGCAAGGCTTTAAAATGAATTTTTTTATAATTTTTTATCAGATGGTGCCATTTTTTCAGGTTTGGCCTATAAAGCAAATACTCGCTTTATTCCTGTTTTCTGCTTCTGCATATTATAGAGCCAATTTGATCAATAATGCAGCTATAATTGTGTGGGTGTGTTGGTATGGATGTCAGAGTGTGGTTTGTATGTGTGTCAAAAAAAATTGTGTGTGTGTTCTTGTAATATTTAAGAGAGAAAAACTCTACTGCAAATCACAAATCCAACCACTGTGTGCACCAGCAGAGTTTTGCTGGTATCTAATGGGGAAAATTTGGTACTGCGCCCAAACAAAACTTACTGAAAGCTAATTCTTTTAGATATCAACCTCAAATTTGGACTACTAAACTACAGGTATAGAATTCAACATGTTTCATAAAATATATATTTTATATAAAATATCGCTCATAAATAATTTTCATAAACTTAAACCTCTATAACTTTTTTTGTTTTTGTTTCACTTTTTAAAGTTTTTTTACTTCAACAATAAGCTGCCATGGGTCTTCTTTTAAAATGAGACCAAACTTAACTGTTTTTTTGACATGGACAATTTTGTCCACAATGGACCTATGTGTAACGCACAAGGGTTAAGTAAATACATCTTGATTTATGTTTAGATATTTGCATTAAAAGAGAAAATCTTTGTGGCAAATTTTTTTTTAAGCATAAATGTAATGAAATTTAAGGGTTTTTGAAAAGGTTTGACAGTGGGCTATGTGCGTTTTTCCCAAAGCAAGTTACATTGCATTTAAGGTGTATATTTTATCAGTTCATGCATTCCCTGGGAATCGAATCATGACCTTGGCGTTGCTAGTGCCGTGCTCTGCTGTATAATGTGCTGTTGCATTGTAATCTCAGATAATTGTTAGCGTCCATCAAATACGATTGTACTGTGTACTTAAAAGGTTGTGCTAATGTATTAATCTGAACATTTGGTGGATTTTTAGGACATTTGGAAAGTGTTCATCAACTCAAGATCTTGTTTATTTAATTTAATTTAATTTTTTACATGGTCATGAAGGTCATGAAGCATTCACTAATGAGATTGGAAGCCATCTCTGAGTCTGGCAGAATGTCTATTAAAAAGTAATAATAAAAATATAGAAAACTTTTTACATTTAAGGAAACAGTTCAATCAAAAGGTAATATTCTCAAATGCGGCTCATCAAAACACATCACAGGTTTGACCGTGTTTGTTCTTACTAGAAATGAAAATACAACAGTTTGCTTGAATTATAATACTTTACCTAGTTGTGAACAGTGTTTATTTATATTCTATTGTAGTATTTATTGTGTAGAATTTGATTTATTTGAATTTCAGTTTTTTATTTTAATTTTAATTTTAGTCAAAGTTGAAGTAATTTTACGTGATTTTTATTAGTTTTTATTTTTATTCTATTTAGTTTATTTATTTCAGTTTTGGTAATTGTTGTACTTAAACTTGTTTTATTTCAGAATAAGTTCAAATTTTTGTATAGTATAAGTTTTGCATTTAATATTTATTTTTTCAGCTTTATTTCAATTTATGAAAGCAACTTTTACTAATTGTAGTTAGATAACAATAACAGCACTCTTCGTGACTCAGTTTCAATGGTTTTGGATAGATTAAGAATTATTCTCAAAAATATAGTGAGAACATAAATGTAACTTGAAAGACCATTTACTCTATATAAAGTTGAATATTGACAATAAAGACTTTACATTTATTTTGGATAAGAAATATATGTAAATTGATTATTAATCCAATAAAAAAGAGAATATTTCAGCAAACAAACACAAACAGATGTTAAAAAAACAGTTCCCCTGAAAGTAAACATTCTGTCGTTCTTTACTCAACCTCATGTTGATCTAAACCTGTATGACTTTCATTGTTCGTCGGAACATAAAAGATAAATTGAAAAAGGTTTCAGTGTTTGGAGTCCAATGTTGTTTGAACCCCAGAATATCTTCTTATGTGTGCAGAAAAATAAAGTCACTCAGGTTGGAAACAACACCAAGGTGAGTGAATGATGACAGAATAATCATTTTTGAGTGAGCTATCTCTGTTGAATATGCTAAATAGATAATAAGATATCATATTGTATAGCATTCACTATCATGACTTGGAATATAGTGCTGGAATCATACATAATATATGGTGCCTTTCTAGTGCAAACCAGCTTCTGATCACAATATGTTTTCATTTATATGGAAAAGAGCAGCTTGGACAGTCTTAAGAATATCCTATTTTATTTTCCACATAAGGTTTCGGAACGATTTGCTGATTAAATGACTCATAATTCAAATTTTTATTTTTTGGGTGAACTAATCCTTTAATATCATAGGTTCAAGGATACAGAGCTGCAGAACTATTCAGGTAATAAGATCATAGTCAGATCTGCGCAGCCACTAGCAACAGTAAATTGATGTCTCTCCGTCTAATCCTTTTAGATCCGCACTAGCCATAACGCGGCTGGGATTCGCAGGCTTTGTTTCCGCACTCCGCTGCTTCCGAGAGGCTTCCATCTCCATGCACCTCCAGTCCATTTATCACCTGCCGAGACGTTCACCTCAGAGAAGCACTTCTTTTCTTCCCCGTCCTCCTAGAACAGATGCTACAATAGCTTTCTTTCAAATGAATGGAGGAACCCGTGGGTTTTAACAGCCGTTCCTGCAGTACAATAGACACACGATGGCTGGGAAGTGAAGCTGTAGTGTAATTTACTGCCTTAAACAGCATTTGCCCTCCACAGACGATTCAGAATAATCACAAATGTGTCTTGCTGCACTCCGTTTCTCTGCTGTGAGGACACGACTCGGCTTTCTTTGCTTGTTAGGGAAGAATGTTTCTCAGCAAACTGATCTGATTGCCCATCCACACTTTAATAAATGGACAGATGTGTTCCCTGTTCTCTCATATATCACATGCGGTGAGCTGCAGATGTTGCTGCCTACACTGAAGGTCACTCATCTTTAATTACTACTGTTTGCATTCAGATACTGTGTATTAAAGCTCAAATCTAGAGATTGTAGAAATTTCAAACATAACTTCAATATATCAGCTTGGTTCCAAAACCTAGGGAGCTGCCTACCTAGACAGCATTTTAAGACATCATAGGCACTTTAGTAAAACAGCGTATCTTCATGCCTGAAATTATCATTAGTAGTGACATTTTACTGACATCGCACATCGCAGAATTCAACGACATGAAAAATTTACCTTGCATTGCTAGAAGCAACATTTTTTTTTCTGGTTTAAGATAACGTTATATATGCCAAATTCTAAGGAAATCCCAGAATGCAAGATCTCTGAAAACATTTACAGTCAAGGTTTAAGAGAAATGTTTTATTTTGTATTTGTTTAATGTATTTATTTTAGCTATATATATATATATTTTTTTTTATTTATGCATAATTTATTTACTTACGTAGTTAGAAATACTCAACTATGTTTTTTTTTTTATTTAAAAAAAAATGAACCATTGTGCCCAATACTCATATGTAGTGTGCATGTGTATGCACTTACTAGTACCCAGTACTAGTATGTAGTATTTTATTTTAGTATTTCTTATACTAAAAGGGGGGGGGGGGGGGGGGG